GCAGCCACGACCACAACGCACGGAATTAGCGGGATTGACTATGTTGTATTACACCTGAGGCAGCCACGACCACAACGCACGGAATTAGCGGGATTGACTATGTTGTATTACACCTGAGGTAAACACCAAATTGCCCCTGGTCAAGGCCACAAACACCTAAACGTTTAGAAATGGTTGATATCAGGAGAACAAAGAGACAGACATCAAATCCTTGTTCACCTTTATACGCAACCGAGGGCCGATCGCACATCATCAACCAAAGTGCAAACATTACGAGTTTCAGCAAGCCAGCAAAGAAGATTGCGGTCCTGAAACCATTCTCCTTTCATCCTCCGTCCTTGCCGTTTTTGTTATCTCAGGACTATTTTATAACATTGATTGAACATTGCCTGGTTAGCCACAGTCGACAACCTGCACATACGCTAGCACGCACACACACACACACACAACACACACACACACACACACGCACAAACAAACACACCCTTTCTGGAAGGCGGCACTACCTCCCAGCAGCGTGTCAGGAGATACTATCAATGCATAGATTCATGTGCTCGGCTGGTTTACTTTCACAACCGTGCAGTCTTCTGTTCCCCCATCCAACCTATTTGCCTATGGTAAAGGATAAAAAAAGAAGAAACCCATCTACCAATTCACCCCCCAATCCATCCATTCAGTCATCCACTCATCCACCTCGCTTCCACTCACTTGATGACCCACGCACCTGCACTATGCATCCAGAATCCACCCAAGCACACATCCATCCCCCATACCTACACCTCCTAGATCAAGCAGTCGTTTCGAAAACAAGAGTGAAAAAAAAAAAAAGATAACGGATTGGTGGAGGAGTAGCCGCCTCATGGAAGAACGGCGAGGCTACAGGCAAATGCTTACTAACCTGTACCAGGTCGTGTTAAGGCTCTCTGGCCATCTGATTGGGTCCTTGTAATCCGGTGGGGGGGGCACTAAACACTGCAACCGGTCCTGCTTGGGGGGGCAATGCCTCTCCCTCGCCGCATATCCCTTCGTATTTCCAGCATGCTTTGACCATCTCTGTGGACAGGAAGCGCCCACCACCGCACACCCAACAGTATGCCACATGACAACACAACACATGGAAAACAATCACCACCATCCGAGTAAGAGACCTGCATAACTAGAAAAACGAAAATAATCACCACCATCCGAGTAAAAGAACCCAGTATAACAAGTACATTAAAGTGAGATGCACAACTCCCCATCATCAGCAAGCAACAAAACAAGACAGTCAAGTAAGACGCCTTGCCCGCACAAGGCTCTCACAGGTTTCGAAATTCCACTGCAGCCGTCCGTGCACCTGAACACCTTCCGGATCCTATTGCCTATCATGCACCTGGCCATCTCGCCATTTAGGTTCACTCCCGCATACTAGGCTGCAGTAGACAATTTCACAACTTCCAAAAGGGGGGTCCAGTCAATTCATCCACAAAATACATGACAATCGATATCCTATGATAGACTCCTCGAAAGAGAGAGAGGGAGGGAGGGAGAGGGAGGGAGAGGGAGGAAGAGGGAGGCAGAGGGAGGAAACGCGAGGGAGAGGGAGGGAGAGGGAGGGAGAGGGAGGGAGAGGGAGGGAGGACAGACGGGCAGAGAGACGTTTAACACAGACGAAAACACAGACAGAGACAGAGACAGAGACAAAAGGATAATGTTCGCATCATTGTTTGACAAAAAACAGTAGATAATGTTTGCATTTCGTTGCTTCGTGTAAGGGGGGGGAAGGGTAGGATCCCCATTGGATTGCACGATTTGGACGAGTTGATTTGTGTGCGTGCATCTGTGCACGCATCTGTTTTAAACAGCCATCATAACAGAAACTAGTATTCCAATCAGATGCATAAAGATCATAATACAGTAATTGAAACATTCCCGCTCACGTTCAAATGATTGTCCCAACTTCGGGAAGGCTGCTGTTTCACTGCTGCAATTTTCAGTGATGCAAAGCTACCGGTACTTATATTTCAGTGCAAGATCCCTCCCTACACACCCATCCGCATTTCAAAACACTTAGCACCCTATCTTCTGTCTGTTCTCGCAGTGATCCTCATTTGTTGTGTCTGTGCGCACGTGCATGCGTATTGTCACGTTCCACAAATGCAAATCCGCCACCTCCACCACAAAAAAGCATGAGTTCGACATATTTCACCGAACCACTGTGGATGTATGCATGTTCTTGTGTGTGTATGCGTGTGTGTGTCTGTGCGTGTGTGTGTGTGTGTGTGTGTGTGTGTGTGTGTGTTGTCATGCTGCTACACAGAACTCCACAGAAAAGCATGACTGGGACTGACTGTTCCATCGCACTTTCGCCGACTCGTCGTGACGTTTTGTGTCTGTGTGTGTCTGTGTGTGTCTGTGTGTGTGGCATGTTTTTCGTTTGCTGAGCATAACCCTACAAGAGAAGGGTGTATCTGGGAGGGTGTGGGTCGGTGGGTTGGTGGGTGGGCTATATGTCCTGTCTTGGGGGAAGGAACAAGTATCCTGGGCTGACTTCTGTAAGCTTGGTATCTGAGAAATACAATCGCTTAAAAAAAAAAAAAAAAAAAGGGACAAAAGCACCAAAAACAACAACAACATCACCGGCTGACTCCTGTAAAGTAGGTATCTGAGAGATCTAATCGGTTTTTAAAAAAAAAGGGGGGGGCGAAAGCACCAAAAACAAAATCCAAACAGGATGCATAAAGGGAAGGGGGGGGGGGGAAGAAAGGCGAACATTGCAGACTTACTGAAGGATCCGTGCATGGTGTGAAATCCTGGTACTCCCTTGTGCAAGGCTTAAAAG